CCCGTTCCACATTTGGTTTGGCTTTCCTTTCTCAAATGGAGCCATGGAAAAGAATTGGTCACATCCTGCCGTGTGGTTAAGGGCATGGTGCAGTGTTTGGCGAGGCCTGTATTGGAGTGTGTGTTCAAACAGTCTACTGGTTCCACCTAGTGGTGAAACGCTCAACTGGCTGTAAATATTGTAGGACAGGGTCCCCAAACTTTTGGAGCCTGTGTGGGTACATTTGGAATTATGGCCTCATGGGCACATAACGGAATGGCTGCTGCAGGAGGCAGGGCCCGCCACAAAATGATTGCCATCGCTTAACTTCAGTAAAGGTAAAGGTTTCTCTTGCTCAAACGACAGTCGAATCCGACTCTAGGCTTGCGGTGCTCATCTCTGTTTCCAAGCCGAAGAGCCAGCGCTGTCCAAAGACTTCTCCGTAAGCAATATTTAAAAAGAACCTGCTGAAGTCTTGCTGGGCAAAAGCTCTACCTGATCCTGCCCACTTCCCTGGAAACACTTGGCAGCATAGTTCCCTCTAAGCTGAGTTAGTGTGAGTCAGCTCACAGATTTTTAGCCTCCGGCTCACACATTTTTGTCTTGGCTCAGGAAGGAGGGGCTCCAGAGCAAACTGATTGATGCAGCAGCCAAATCGCTCACTCACAACTTTAGTGCCAGTAGCTCACAAAGTAGGATTTTTGCTCACAAGACTCCACAGCTTAGAGGGAGCATTGCTTGGCAGGAGCCAGTGTAGGTGTTGAGGGTATCATGGTGCCCGTGGGCATGTGGGCCCTTGCTGTAAGATTTGGTATGTAAGGTTTGGGGTGGGAGGTGGAGAAAAGCAAATAATATTTTTTTTATTATTATTTTAGATTGATATCCCGCCTTGCCTGTGCATGCTATTATTGGGAAAGCCATTCGTATCATTGCTCATTATGCTTTTGAACCCTGAAGAGATATGTATGTCTTGCTGGGAAACAGGGCTTGGTTATGTCAGTCGTTGCCCACACTATTTATTGATTTATTTAGACATTTTTACCCTGCCCTCTCCGCAAGCGGGCTCAGGGCAGCTTACAAGGGGCATACACCCATACATAAAACCAGATAAAACAATAAAATCTTGGATAATAACAACAGTAATAATAATAAAGTGCTTTTTATAACAAGATGGTCTTGTGTGGTTTTGATGGCATCTTCAGATCCTCCCCATTGGGGTGGCACTGTTCAGCAGATAGTTCAGACCATTCCCACATTGTCAGTGCCTGGCTATTTGTGGCGGAACTTCCAAGGGCGATTCCTAATCTCGATGGTATTGCCACCGTTGGTGGTGGTGGCAGCGGCGGCCCCTGTGCAAAAGCCTGGCGGAAGAGCTCCGTCTTACAGGCCCTGCGGAACTGCATAAGGCGAGCTCTGTAGCATTACACCCAAAGCCTCTCCGCTATTGTGCTGCAGGTTTTGTTTTGGGCGACTTCTCCAGTTGGAATCGAGACCAGGAGTCCCCAACATGTAGCCTGTCGACACCTCTTCTGGCACCTGCCAAGTGTTTTTAGAAAGTGGGTCGGGCCAGGTAGGGTTTTGGAACATTTAAGGCTTCTGATCGACTATAGGAGATTTGATTGGCTGTGCAGACTTTTTTTTAAAAAAATGCTGCTTTGGCAACAGTGAAGTTAAGCTGTGGCAATCACTTTGTGGCTGGCCCCACCTCCAGCGGCAACCATTTTGCCGCTGCACCCCTCATGCCCTGTCAGAGTTCCAGATGTGCCCGCAGGCTCAAAAAAGACTGGGGACCCCGGATCTAGACCAAAGTCTGGTTGATGTGGACAGTGACTTGTGTTGACTCAGACTGATTTCCCACTGGAGTTAGAGTTTTGAATGGGTCTTACGGACGACTCAGATTGGACCCGGCACATAATTTGCTATATATGTCCTCTTAAGCTTTTCTAATGTTACATGTCTATTAGATTCAGGTGGGCGACCATGTTGCTATGAAGCAACCGAACAAAGTTTGAGTCCCGTGGCACCTTTAAGGCCAACAAAGTTTAATTCTGGGTGCACGCTTTTGTGGAATACTTGGGCCAAGGGCAACAGATGCTCCCCAAGTATGTTGTACATATTCGATTCCATGTCAAAAATGAAGTCAAATGAGTAGGAAGATCTATGTTTTATTTCAATTAACAAGAAAACAGTTGGACCAAATAGTCCATCCAAAATTGACTACTTTCTTCTCAGCAAATTCAGGAAATATGCTTCAATTAACAGGAAAAACCTTTGGACCCAATAACTCATCAACAATTGACAACTTTCCTCTTTTTCATCTTCTTCTTGAACATATTCAGGACATATTTTGTACATGGACTGACATCATCAAGAAAACAATATTCAAAAAGCATAATTGGTTACAAGAGACAGTGGTCATTTGAATAATAAGTATCTGATTTGTCAGATGTAAAGAAACATATATCTACGTCAAATCTACGTAAAACCTAAGTGTTTACTTAACGGAATGCAAAAGATAACTGCTGGAGGTTGTGTGGGGGAGAAGATGCTGTAATGCTTGCCTATTGATTTTCCCAGGACTACTGCACCTGTGTTTTGTCTGATGTTCTGCCTGGTTCTCATGTACTGGGCGCGCAACCGTTTCCTTAGCCCGCCAGCGGGAAAGATATTCATTGGATCTGTATCTGTTTGAAGTTCCTTTATTATGCTTGACCTGACTGTGTATCCCCAGTTCTAACAAAGAACGTGTTTGAGTATGTCTTCAACGCTTTGAAATAAATTTTGCTTTTCCTGAAAACGTGGATTTATTCTCGATGCTTGGGGATCCAACATATTGTTAGAACTCCCTTTTTCCTATCGTTCCGAATCTGGCAAGATCATGAGCGGAATTGAGGGAAATCTACCTAACACGGAGGGGGACTCGGGATCGGTCCCACAAACCTCCGCGTCTTTGGTGTTCACGACTGCAGCCTCCATGGAGGGTGCCGTGGGGGGAACGATTCCCCGCCTGCCTGCACATCTGTCTTGGCCGCCTCCGACCCCTTCGCAATGGGGTCCGCGGAAGACTCACCAGCAGGATGATTGGACTATGTACAACACCCAAGGCACCCGTGAGGTGTACTCCCGTCGGGGGAGCGGATTACGTGAGAGTCTGTTTGACAAGGGATTGTTCCCGGAACCTGGGTCTACCTCGGAGAAGGGGAGCCCCAAGCAGGACCTCGAGGAGTGGATGTTCGAGCCGTCGGGACCGCGTGGTCACGCAGAAGATGAAGAGAGCACCGGAGCCTTCCAAACGGAGGAGGACTATGACCCACCCCCAGATTACCGCCCTCGGGACCCCATCCCGGAGGAAACTACCGGGGAACGTCTAGCAGAACTGGAAGACTCGGTGAGAGACTTAATGCGGGCATTCCAGGATGTGATGGAAGGCCTGCCGGGAATGTTGGACGTTAGAATGGCCAATTTCCTGGACGCACACGCCGCGCAGTTACAAGTTGCTCCTGCACCGGGATTTCCCGC